GCGTATACAAAGTTTTGAGAAGGATTTGAAGCAAATTTTTGATAGATTAATTAATTTGAATATATCATCAAATACACAGTTTGTACGTGGGAAGGTATCTTTAATAGTCAAAGTAGTTTTTCTTTTTTACATGTTACATGAGGGTGTGTGTTTAGGATCAGAATCACAGACATTAGTCAAAAGTAAATAAGTTTATGCAAGCCAGAATAAATTATTTTGATTAATTGGCTTTTAATTACACTATAATTATTGAATATGCATATTAATTTAGAAAGTTCTAGTACTTGTGATATTCTCGAATAATGTCCATTGTCTATCTCTTGACAATGGCCCTTACTGTAAACCAATGTTTTTTTTTGATAACAGCTAATTAAAGAATTCGAGTTTTCAAACGTCGTATTTGTGAAATGTTGAGGTTTGTAAGTTTCAATAAGTTTGCAGTGGTCCATATTACACCATGTTTTAACTCCACCCAAAGATTGAAAGTAGTTTTAATAAAATGATAACAATGATGCTACTTCAAATGTAGGGTGTTTGGATGGCTGAATGGTTAGCACGTGCGCGCTGTATCATAAGCTCTGTCATTGAGTCAACTGGTGTGGTTTCAATTCCCGGTTGTACGTGACAAGGAGTATGGTCGCCTGTCCAACCTCGTAGGTTTTCTCCAGGTCCTCTGGTTTCCTCTCACTGCTAAAGACCCCTACACGCATCACTGCTAAAGACCCCTACGCGCAAGCGAATTATTGAAATAAAATTAAACCATATGTTAGTCCCAAAATGACATTGTGTCGAGTGAACGTTAAATCCCATTTCTCTCTCTTATTATGAGTGGTCCTCAGAATAACATGAAATTGTTCCTGTTAATAACAATAGCTATGAAATAATCATCTGGGTGAATTGAAGTATATTGAATAACAGGAAATAAAATTGAAATGTCATTAAAATTCCAATCCAGTGTCAGTTGAAGTGCACTAGAAAAATATTTCAAGTATTTTGAACATGACATACCGGTGATCATTAATATGATGTCTTTAGCTAATGAAAATCCTACACAGAAACAGACCGGGTAATCTCCAGTTATTCCGGTTTCCTCCCACTGCTAAAGGGTAATCTTCAGTTATTCCAGTTTCCTCCCACTGCTAAAGACCCCTACACGCAAGCAAACTATTGAAATAAAATTGAAGCATATGTTAGTCCCAAAATGACCTACTTTGTGTCGAGTGGATGTTAAACCCCATCTCTCTCTCTCTCTCTCTCTGACCACATATAACCCAGAAGAGGAGTAAATACCACAGCAAGTATAAAATGTCTCATTATTAGCTTGTGGTGTAAGCTTCAATGTACAAAAATATTGATTCTGGCTGTTCCCCTTTAACCTGTATGTTGGTGAAATACAAGAATCTGTGTTCCATGTCGCATACATTGCTTTTAATTTAAATGTTTATTTTCTTACTAAAGGTCCATTTTAGGTCTTATTCCAGCCACTTAGTCAAACCTCTCTCTCTCTCTCTCTCTCTCTCTCTCTCTCTCTCTCTGTAGTGCATTAATCCTGCTATATGGGCAGTCTACTTTAAATTCTGTAATATGTTTCAATGTAAGGGCTTTGACAAGCATTTATTAATTGAACAAATTAACACAAGATACAATTTTATGGATACACATTTACTGAATTTATTACGTTTCAGCAAGGCTACTCTCCCCTTTATCAAGCAACTAATATTTGTATCCATAGAATGAATTGTGTCCGCTCAATATAATTAGGATAATTGACATCAATGAGATTAACCACAAATTGTTTGCAATATAAAAAAAGGTCCTGTAGATTAAGCAAATCAATCAAGGGAGGTGTGTATACAACACTGAAATTGGTCTGATTGCTAATTACTTAATTACTTCTACTGAAAGATACATTAGTTAAGAGTTTAATAAAGAGATGACCATTTTTGCTCTAATAATTTAAAAATAGATGATAAAAAAAAGAAAATATTGAAAATTTCAGTCGAATTACTTTATTCTGAATGTGTTGTCACTGTGTCCGCACCGACTACGAGAATACCGATCGTTTGATTGACAGATGATAACTCCACCCACATATTCTTGATTATCAAGTAACATTTTCAATGGCTATGGTACCTTCACTAGGCAGCTCTTTCATCGGATGACTGTTTAAATCCAAGCTATATCCAAGCCATCCTAGGGGTCTACAGAGTTGATTTTGAGCTTGTCATGTAAATAAAGGTCTAATTAATAATTTCTATAACATTTGAAGTCTAAATAAAGACTTGCAATAGACATTGCAGTAGGCAGATTTAGCTCTTGCATAATGTATGTTTAATTTTGACAATAATCATGATTTTTTCCAGTTCAGGTGGATATGACAGACCTTATGATCTATTGCATAGATGTTAGACAGTCAGTCATCCAACTCTTTAACTGGAACAGAAGTGAGACATAATTTTAGCTAAATTAAGTGCGTATATTATTTTTATATCTTGTGTATATTTTTCATGAAGAGTATGGAGGGGGTAAGTCAGCTTTAGAAGAGGCCATGTCTCCACTCCATCAAGATAAACCGTTGGTAGACTCAAGATAAATTTATTAAAGCCAGAAACAGATTCATTGCTATATATATAAACTTGATAGATTAGAAATTAAAGACCCAGGGGTGGAGAGTTATCCACTTTTCAACATCCCATTTATCAATTATTTTAGAATTTGATTGCCCACACCTTTAAAAATATATTGAGTTTTTTTGTTTTTTTTGCGTTAGTTTTACAGAATAATGGCAGCATTTATGAAATAAAGACGTATCGTGAGAAGGAAGTTACAATCCCATAATTTATTCTTTATTATACTATTTATCTGTTATTTTAAGTATTAAAAAGTTGATATTTTGGTTCCATCCTCAAACAGATTCAATTTAAATATAAATGACAGCTTGTATTTATAAATGCAATGATAAAACCTGGATGGAAGTGAGCTTGCGCCTTCCTCACTGAGTCATCACGGCTTCTGCATGGCATATGGCCATCTTCATTTGGATGGCCAAGAACTAAAGGCTCAATGCATTTTTGCTAAAATATTATTATTTAACATTAAATTAAACAGGCATTATTGCAGGCCTTTCTCTGGGCCTTAAGTGTTATATAGGTTATTAATTAGACATTTATTAACATGACAAGAACATAATCAACTCTTGATACCATCGGATGGTTCCGATTTTAAGTAGACTAGAACGGTTCGGCCACTTAATGATTTAATTTTAAAATGGAGAAGCAAGGCTAAGACACGAATGACCTGTACGGTAATAACGGTCAATGCCTACATCTTGTCAAAATTACAACCATTGTAAACTTGGCTCAAAATAAAGTAATTTCAATGAAGTTTTCAACGTATTCATTTTACATTATCTATTTTTGAAATATTATAGCGAGAATGGCCAGCTCTTTATCTAAATCATAATGCCCCTTTTAAAAAAACAAAATAGCAACACTAGATAATCTTCCTGCTTGAAGTCAATCTTAAACGAGCACAATTATTGAGGAAAGTGGTACCTTTTTGTTAATGAAATTATTTGGCCTAGTGAACCCTAAAATTACCACAGATATTTGTCCTTTTAGACTGGATGACAGCTACCTACCCACCGTGACCAAAATATATATCCGACCAAAGTAGGTCTGTTATATTCTATATACCGGTAATGACTTTTTTTATGATTTATATGAAGAAGAAAGAAACGTTATTGCATAAAAAACCTTACAAGGTTAAAGGGACAATAACACTCTTGCTGGCTTGACAGCTCCAGAAAATAAAAAATAGCCATATTCTAAGTACTAGATGTGTTAGTGTCCTACCTGTTGTGTAAATTATCCATTAAATCCTATTTTACTTGTCCAGAGGGTTCAAAAATATTTTTATATCCAAGTCACATTTGAAAAGCTTTACGTAAGGCTTTTCAAATCATTGAGTTGAATTTTTTCAATTTTTTAAATTAGGTGTGTTAAGATGAAATTTGTATCATCAATTAATTGGAATATTGTAAAACAGTACAATTTGTTGACCAGAATAAAGATTGGGACATATTATTCAGTTACAACAAGAGTGGTATTGAGCCTTTAAAATATAATAAACTGTACACAAAACAAACAAATAAACATACATGATTATAAGTAGATGTTACAATAATATAAATGATTGGTATACAAAAGCTTCTAAGCATTTTAATAGTTCAACATTTTTATTCAGCATCAATATTTTGAATTGTTTGGAATTGTTCAATTCATTGAATTTTCATTCTTGATACAATTGGGCTAAAGAGTTCTTTTCTTCTATCTGTATGGGTTGTTTTTTATTTGCAGTTTGTTCAAAATATGTATTTTTCTCGTATGAAAAAAGTGTAACAATTGCATTAATTTGAAATGCATTTGTCAATGTTTTCACAAGACTGATAGCAAAATATTGAAATTGTATGTTTTATGTATAGTTTAATATATTTTTTTATAGTTTGTAAAGCGCATATTCTTATTGCAGTTTTACTGAAGTTTTCGTCTTATGTAGTTTTATTATCTGTAACAATATTATTTTAATTTTTCTATTTTGTAAAGCGCATAATCTTATTGCAGTTTTACTGAAGTTTTCCTCTTATGTAGTATTATTATCTGTGACAATCTTATTTTAAATTTTATATTTTGTAAAGTGTGTTGAAAATGTGGCATGCTTTTTACTGTGTCAATTGTTATTAATTAGAATGTGCTATATTATTATTATTATGCTCAGCAATCCATGATATTTCTCGAAAATCACAAAAAATAGTGGACCTTCACCATTTTAGTGAGCAACATGAAACAAGCCGGTATAATTCTATTCTCAAACGATCCTGGTCAGGCATTGGATGAGATAAAGTTGTATTGAAACACTCTAATACACAGAACACAGCTGACTTGCTTCAGTTGAAAACAGTGTTGTATGGTTAGTTGTATGCTTGTCATTATAGTATTTCTCAGTGTGTGAGTAAGGTTGTTTAGTGTGTGTTACAGTGGTGAAATATAGTATTAGATTTTTATGCTAGTTTCTTTATGACAGGAATTATGACTTGTACATTCTACTATAAAAATGGAGCCATGGAAGAAGATCGAATAAATATATTTTGATTGTAAGTAATTTTATTATTTAGCAATTTTGTCATTCACAATAAAAGGTATTAACATTAGCTGTGAGTGAACCCACATTCAAGGACGCTTGCTTCAGTATTAATAAAAATAAAAACACTTTGAATGCTGTCACTTGTCATTGAATTGTTAGTAATATTACAGTATCATTGATAGGCGAAATGAAATGAAATTGGGTTTAATGTCCTACTGTTCTGCTCCACCTGGGCTAATGAATACGGGCGTTGAGAGGCAATTAGCAATTGACTTATAATATAATACTAGAATACTTGGTATGGGTACAGTAACTATGTTTATTAAACAGCAGTGTTTCAACAAGAGTTCATAGAAATACTTTGGATTACTATTTAAACTAGAATACACTGCTATTTAGTAATTGAATTAAAATATAAATACTGTCACTTGTAACTATTTAGTAATTGACTTAAAATAAAAATACTAGAATATTTGTTATGGATACAATCACTGTTTAGTACACAGTCAATATTGTTATTTAAAATTAAAAAGATTACAAATTACACATGATTTAAAGTAGAATACACTATATTCAGCAATATTTGAATATTTCTTATAAGGATGGACAACAATCATTATTTCTTCAACCAAATATCCCTTTGTCTATAGCTCTATAAAAATTGCAAGCTGTTATCTTTTCTTTTGAAATTTAGCCATTTGAGATTTAAAATATTTATAGGCATTGTTATATAAAGTATTGCTTTGTTTTTATTTTAGCTTCACAGATTTTGCTTACCTGTATATAAAGGATTTTATCTCTATACGTTCATGCAGAGTTTCAAATATTTATAGGGCATCATTGTTATTGTGTTGTAACCACCCATATTGTATTGATTGTATTTTATAAGAAGGTAAAAATAAGTCATTATATATATATATATGGCTAAACAGTCAATACAACAAATAATTAAGGTCTTTCTGTAAAACTATTTGATAAGAAATAGGTTATTTGATGTATAGGTCTACACAGGTATTGTTGAAACATTCCCTCTTTAATTTATTTGGAAATTAATTCGAATTATATTGGATTATTTACCTGGATTTACCTGGATTGAGTTAAGTGACATGGTTTTGATCCCAAGCCTGTACATGACAAGGATAGAGTAGTCTGCCGGACTGTGTGGGTTTTCTCCAGGTTCTCTGGTTTCCTCCCACTGCTAAAGACCCCTATGTGCAAGCAGATTATTGAAATAAAATTGTACCATATGTTAGTCCCACAATGACATAGTTTGTGTGCTTTGGACATATGGAGCAGAATAGTAAGGTGTTAAACCCCCATTTCATTTCATTGAATGGATCTGGTGGTAAGCTCTACTTCACTGGTCTGTCATCTCTGCTGAGTTTGATTATATTTGACATGGATACAAATTTCCTGACAGCCTCTGTCATTTTATCCAGGAACAATTTAGTTTGCTTGCTCTATTATAAAGAGCCATGGGCATGTGTGAATTATTAAAATAAAGAATTAACATATGTTAGTCCCAAAATAACCTAGTGTTTGTAATACCACATATCTTCTGAGGTTTTTTTTTTTCATTTCTTAAAAAAAAAATCCAATAGACTGTAAACTCACGTAACATTTGATTGGAAAGGATGTAGTGTGTCGTCAGGACTGGAAACCTGACAATATATATAAATATTTTATTTCTGCTAATGGAGAATTCCTGGATTACATATTGGGTCTAGTTTCACGTGTTACAATAGATTGAACATGCCAAGTTAATACAATATCAAATATTACACGAACACCACTAGTAAATGACAGTGGTGTCACATTCTCTCTTGGATCAGAAGACGGGCACTTTGTATCAATGTATCAAATGAATAATGTAATTCTACTTAGATGGGTAGATGGAGATCTGTCAGCTCAAAGTGGTGCTCAAGTACTGATACAGAAACTTTTTAAAAGTTGGGTTGGTAGGGGGTTGTCCAAGAGTAGCGAGTTAGATTTAAGATTGGAGATTAAGGTTGATGATATGTGTAGCAATTGTCGAAACTACAAAGGTTAAAATGTACCGATAAGGTAGACCGATCCATTTGTTGGCGCTGCAATATGTATTATGTGTTGCAGTCATTCTTTTTGAGTCTGCAATGTCTCTCAAAAAAGGGTATACTCTTAGTGTGGATTAAGGAATCGCGTTCATATTAAATTTATTCTCCATTGTTTTCATCAAGATCGTACTATTTACCCAAAATATCTGGTTCACATCATATTAGTATCAAAAATTGAATTCTAATTTTAATCTCATTCTGAACTTGAATTGAAAAAAGTAGGAAATTAATTGAATTTCATCTGCCAAGGGTTCTTTTACATGCACCCCATCATGTACACAGGAAATGAGTTTTTCATTCCATCCAAATGACTAGACACTGTTTGGCACCAATCAAATTACTGACCAGGGGAAACCATGCTGAAAAATCTGTAGGATCCAGAGACCTCCGGTTAGCTAGCCGCCGCCTTGCTCACTGAGTAACTATGGCTCCCCCTACTTGATCGTCTCGTTTAACCCAGTTGGAGCAGAACAGTATTAGGGAAATCCAGATAAGTTAGCCAGGACCTTATTCACTGAGCCACTATGGTGTGCTCCTACTCGAGCATCATCATTAGCCCAGTTGGAGCAGAACAGTAGGATATTAAACCCCATTTCCCTTACTCAACCATACCCTGGGATGTATTTTATCTTGACTAACAAAAATTCTGTAATGATTTAAAATATTTAAAGAAAACATCAATGTTCATTAAATAATAAATAACTTTATATTCGTTCAGGACCCAGAACACGCAACCTTTTTTTTAAAAAAAAGCAATATTCCAAGTGTTTGTTATTGGACTAATAATCAATAAAAACACAATTATAACTGATATTATTGATAATAAGTTCACAATAGCATCACGTTAAAAACTTTTTTAAATAAAGAGAGACAATAAACGATGAGATATTTGATATTAACAATAGCTGGTGTAAAATAATAGTAGAGATAATTGGTCATCAATTTTATCAATTTGAACATCAAATTTACAAGCATCAATAATACAATACACAGGTTGTTGAATGATAATAATTTATACTGGACTGGAACAGGCTTTAAGATAGGGATGTTGTTCGGCTGCGTAGGTTGTACATTTTCTGTGTCCCGGGTTCCCAACCTCAGGGTTGTGGGGGACTACTCTGAAACTTTTGAAAAAATGCTACGTTTTCATGAAAAGCATATACTGGTACATCTCTGATCTATATCATGGCGGAGCTCACAATTTGTTTCCTCAGTCTATCATTACAACATTTTTACAGACTAATGTCAATTAGTCTTATCAACACATTACTTGAATTCATTTTGCATATAGTCAATCATGTGTGTAATGCTAGGAAGGTTAAGTTTCTGTCTACTCTTCATTCTACCTGCATGCCTTGGTTTTTCATTCCATCAGATTGACTAGGTACACTTTCCTAATCAACCCCACTGTTACCACCACTGACAGATAGGAACCAAGCTTGAAAAATCCTGAAGGATTCGAACCTGGGATATTTAATAGTTTATAAAGTTTCAAGATAAGATATACTGTAAGGTTTGATAAGAATTAGGTTTCAACGACATCAATCAACAATTTTCCTCAATTTAATAATAGTAATATTAAGTCAGGGTAGTGAAGTAATAAGGGTATCCTGCCATGGGAAGATGACGATGGCACAACAATATTGATTTCTCTTCTAAATAATATAAACTATTTAAGAGATTTCTCCTAATGATGATATTTATTTGGGCAATTTCAAGGCTATGGTTAATCATACCAGTTAACCTTAATGATTTTCAATTGACCATGCTTATCAAATTTAACGTGTAAATAGTTCTCATTCTACGATACTAATTAACTATGATTGTCATCACTAACAGTTGAGAGAGCTCTGTATGGAAAAATCATTATATGATCTCCATAGGATTAAACTAAAATTCTACAAGTTAACTGATAAAGTTTAAGGTTACTGAGAACCAAAAGTCTTGATATAAGAGAAGTTTTGTGTTGTTTTTAATATTTAGATGCAGGATGGTAAAAATTATGATTAACGTTTAAAATCCTGTAACTGATTGATTGATTGATTGATTGACAGGATAAAGAACATCTGTTGCAGGATGTATGTCAAGTCAGAGACGGAAGGAGGATACTTGGTTAGAGAGGGGTATCAATGGCGTGTATCTGGATCAGAAGAATATAACATTTTATTTCATTAGCTACATCACCCCAACCAACAAAAAAATCAAATTTACACATTCCATACAAACTGAATAAATGATTAATTTTTTACTGTCATTTAAGGGGAACACATTTGTTACTTCTTTTTTTAAAAACTAATTTATTTGAGAGATTTTGAATCCTGTGCAAACTACAATATTGGGAAAGTTGAATCTCTACAACAAATATCAGTATAAAAATGGTTCAATTCCATTATGTAAGAGCTAAATCTACCTATTGCTCCTTAAATGTTATATAAAATAAATTATTAATTAGACAATTATTAACATGGCAAGACCATAATCGACTCTCGATGCCATCAGATGGCTCTGATTTTAAGTGGATTAGAACGTTGTGGCCATTTAATAATTTAATTTAAAAATGGAAAAACGAGTCTAAGGCTCAAATGACCTGTACCTGGTTGCGATCAAAACTAAATGATTGATAACTTGGTTCAGATTAATGTAATGTGAATGAAATCTTCAATATATTCATTTTGCATTATCTATTTTTGAAATATGATAGCTAGAATGGTCAGCTCTTTACCTAAATCTTACATAATGCCCCTTTAAAGTTTAAGCGTTTACACAACATTCAGCATCCTGAGCAGATCCCATAAACACTCCAGGCAAATAGGCCTACATGAATATTCTATTCACTTTCCAATAAACTTCTATAGCCCTATCAGTTTATGAGTGATTTACATCAATTTAATATCCTATAATGTTCTACTGTGGTCAC